GGRARRAWTYYYTTSYAATATCSCATCTAACYCTGCTCCCTGCAGTGYGAACCCTTTCCCCCTTGTCCCAAATCCYTCTCCAGCTCTCCTGGAGCCGCTCTAGGCACTGGAAGGGTCTCTAAGCTCTCCCTGGAGCGTCTCTTCTCCAGGCCGGACACCCCCAGAGCAGAGGGGCTCCATCCCCATGAGCATCCCCGTGCCTTCCTCTGGGGGGATCTGGGAGCCTCCGGGGGCCGGGCCGTTCTGGCCGCGCCCCCGCCGCTGCCCGCGCCCCCCGCCCCGCAGGCACCGCCCCCGCCCCGCCCGCCCGCTCCCCTTTGTGCGGCAGCCCCGTTCCGCGCTCCGCTCCGCTCCCCCGGCACCGCCCGGAGCCGCGGGGCCAGCCCGGCTCTGCCCGGCTCTGCCCGGCCAGCTCAGGTGCGTCCGGCCGGCGAGGGGTCTCGGGGGGCCGGTGGGGAGGGAAGGAAGGGGGGCTCGGGGGGCTCGGGGTCCGCTCGGCAGCGCCGCTCGGGGGTGCCCGCTCGGCGATCCGTGCCCCGCTATCGGGGTGCGGTACCGTTCCCCAGCCCGCTCCCGCCGGGCGGGCGGCCGGGACCCCTCCCCGCTGCCCCGGGGCATCGCCCCGCGCCCCGACCCGCCCGCATCCCGGCCCCGGCGGCTGCCATGGCAACGCCGGGTACCGCGCTTTCCCTTCTCCCACCGTTGCCTGGTTACCAGCCCCCCGTGTTGGGGAGGATGCCCCGGCGGACCCCACCCGAGACCACCGCGGGTGGACCCGGAGCACCCCGGGCTGGCGGGGCTGTGCGGAGCGGGGGGATCCCGGGGAGCGGGGGGATCCCGGGGAGCCGGGGGATGCCTCTCTCGCAGCCCTTGGCAGCGCTCTGGCTCCTGTTGTTCAATATTGTAGTAACACCGTGCGTAAACAGCCAAGCGCCTCATCCCGGGAAGGCGTACGGAGGAAGGCAAGAGCGTGTCTCTCAGGGTGTGCAATTAATGCTTCCAGAGAAACGGATTTTTGGAGTCCATGTGGTGGAACTTGGATCTTGCAGGGATATTTCTGTGGGAGGGAAAGTGACAGGTGGTTTGTGTGGATGTGAATAAGCAGCGTGAAGGAGCAGCCTCTCGGGGAAAGCCGTGTGTGTATCAGAATGGAGCACCCATTTTGGCAAGCCCGCAGTGCTCCCAGATGCTGCTGGGTCCCGCTGGGATTTTCAGTCCCGCTGGGTGGTTTTGCTCCCAGTTTGAAACAAAGACAAACCCGGAGAATCCCTGCTCGTGCACAACTGGACCGTGATTCCGAGGAGGAGCGAGGTGGAGAGCTGCCAGCGTCAAGTGCCATGGCTGCCAAGCCAGGCCACCTGTTGGAGCGTGTTTGGGAGCTGCTGGAGAATATCCTGCGCCTGCAAGGTGTGAGTCTGCCTGTGCCTTCCTCCCATCWGCCTCAAGGCTCACGCTCGCCTGGAAATGTTATCTGCTTTGTCTCAACGTAGCCATTCAGGTAAAACACGGTGGAGTGTCAGGGCTTTGCCAGGGGTGGAGGACGCTCCCTGGCACAGCAAACCAGCAGCTCTGYGTCCGGCTGTTCCCGTGTTTGCCTTTCGGGCTGTTTGTGTGTTCCCAAGGTGTAAAAGGCTGCTGAGCTCTGCAGCTGTCGYGTCCCCGAGCACAGGGAAGGTGTCCTGTGCCCCCTGGCCATCGCTCTGAGCGTGTGGCAGTGTTGGTGGGGACCCTGCCATGCTGCTGGGGGCTGCTGTCTGCCTGGCGCTGGCGGTGGGCACGGCTGATGGTGACAGCAGAGGAGAGAAGGCAGAAAATGTCCGCTCTGATGTGCTGCGGAGCGTGGCGGTGCTGTGGCTCACACAGGAGCCTTGCAGGCTTCTCCACGCTCCTGTCTCAGGGTGCTGCGGTGATTTGGGGTGCTCTGACCACCAGCACCCTCCAGGKAACCTCACCCGTGTCTCACCCGTGTGATCCCGTGGCTGATGCCTGTGCAGAGCCCCGGCTGAACCAGCCTGGTTGGTGTGGTGGAAATGGGATGGTCCAGGCAGGTGCACAGGGCGGTTTACAGCACCTGGTTATCTGTTAGTCAAACCAGGAGGGATGGGGAGCGCCAGACTCCTGTGCGAGGGGGTGGTGGTGTTTAGGGCCTGCCAGAGCCGGGGCTGGGCTCCCTGCACAGGCAGCCTTTAGCTCGGCAGGGCTGGCACTGCAGCCTTGCCCCGGTGAAGGGCTGGCCTTGCCACCTCTTTGGGGTGTCATCGGGGGTCCGGGGACTGTGCTGAGCCACGCATGGCCGAGCAGTCTTGGCTGAGGCTCCTTGACCGTTTAGGGTCAATTCCATGAGGCTGGAACAAGCCCTGCAAGAGGCAAGGRGAATTCTGGGGAGCAAGCGAGGGATGGTGCACTCCGAGACACCCCAAATCCACAACATACAATGGGATCGCGGTGCAGCCAGGTTTGAATCGCCCATCCAGGCAGCCTCTGAATCAGCACCAGGTTTGGGAAGGGCCGTCCATGCTGGAATGGCGAGGGCTGGAAACCTCCTCTCCTCTCTCATTTAGCAGCACGAGGCACAACAACAGGCGCATTAATAGCCGGATTGATGCTGACGTGAAATGGCAGAAGAGCACATCTATGCAGAGCTGGAAATGTCCATTCACACATGCACGCTCCTATACGCCCCGGGCAACGAAGCGCTGCTGTCACGGTCTGGGGGGCTTTGCACAGAAACCAGAGATTTTAACTAGGTCTGATCTTCGGGAGATGCCCTGAGGACTCCTGACGGGAGGCGGAGGCTGCTCGGAATTGCGCTGTGATGGCTGAGACTTGACAGGGCAGATCTATGCAAAACAATGGARAGGAAAAGGGGACTTGGAGATCCAAGAGCGTTACAAATTCACCTGCCTTGCTCTGGCAGGATTTGCCGTGCTGCAGAGCGCTGAGCCAGGCGGGAGAGGCTGGGTCTGTCTGCCCGGATTTGCCCGCTCCTCTCCCTCGCCCAGGCTCCATGCAAGCACGCATGCCAAGCCAGAGGCACGGGAATGGCAAGGAGGGATTATCCAGGAGGAAGAGGCTGAGGAGGAGCTGTGGCTGTGCTCTGCATGGAGGGAGYGCTGGCTGTGCTCGTGGCAGGGCGGTGAATCACCCGGCCGGCTCGCGTGGGTGCGGGCGGCTCCCAGCTCCTGGTGCCGCGGTGGCCCTGCCATTGTCACCCTGCCTTGTGCCATGCTGTCACTGCTGGCTGTGCCCTTGCAGACCCTCACCCTGGCAGATTCTGGCAGCACTGGGTTATCCCTCAACCCGCTCTCACCCATATCCTCCCAGGAAACAGCAAAGTCCGTGTACATCCTCACTCCGAGTCGCTGCTTCCTTCCCCCTGAGCCTCTCACAAATTCCTGCTGCCTCCTCCTCCCACTGGCTCTTCTGTGGAGATAGGGWTGGGGGGGAAATATCTGGTTTCCCTTATAAAGCAGCAGGCTGGGCTGAGATGAGAGGGAAGCGGATTTCTGGACTCTGCTGCTCCGCTCCTGTGCCGCTCCGCCTCTCTCCTTCAACAGGAAACCCCCGTGTTTTGGTTCAAGTCACAGGCGTTGCCCCTCCCCGTGGTGTCCGGGGTGGCGACTCCAACTTTGTGCCACCGATGAGGAGAAAACAGGGAGATTTGGGCYGTGGGACGTGGCAGCTGCTGGTTTTCCGCTCCTTCCCTGTGCCAAGGCACAGCTGGATTCGGCAGGAGGGAAGGCGGGAGCGGGGAGAGCAGCAAACCTTCAGCAGAGCTCGCTCTTCTCACTTTATTTCAGCTTCAGGAAGAGGTGGGTGGGCCAGCTTGGAGCAACCCAAAAAAACCTGTGGCTCTTTGCAAGGCATATGGTTCCTTGGAGGAGAGCTGGGCTCGTTTGCAGCGCAGAGCGCCGTGTTTGCCTTTGGAGCAGGGACGCTGCCAATCCTGGCGGTTCACTCGTGCGGAGATAAGTTCGAGCGCGCGGAAGTGTGTGAATTCTAGGAATTGAGATAGAAAAACAAAGAACATATGTGTGCTGCGTGCTTGGCTCGGCCCAGCAGCGAACTCTGCCGCGCTACGTGCGAGGAGCCAAACGCTGAGCGACGGGTTGGAGGCGGCGTGTGCGGCTGGGCAGGGCCCGGTGCCACGTGGAGGGGCTTGGGGCAGGGAATAATGTGAAATTCTCTTTGGGGAGTGCTCCAATTGCAGGCCAAGAACGGCAAAATCAACGGAAAAAATCTGATGAATGATTTGTTTGAGAAATACAGGAGCCGATTGATACCATTATGGCACGAGAGCGTGAGCTGGGTCACAGCCCTTGTGCACGCACAGAGCCCCCGTCGGGGTGAAGTGACTCTGATTTTGCAGCCGTGGCAGTGAAGAGATAAAGGATGAGAGAAAAAGAGACGTGGAGAAATGTGCAGCTCGCAGTGACTGTGTCACCAGCTGTGGGTTCTTTGTGTGTGTTTCTAAAACCTGCTAATTACCCCGAATTGTGCAAACGAGGGGGTTTGTCTGGGCGCGCTCCGGTGCAGCCCCGCGCTGCACAAAGGCACCGCAGCTGCAGGAGAGGGGGATGAAACCCTCCAGTGTTCGCATAAACACATCGCCCTCGGAATAGCAAATGGTGAAGGGGAGGGAAGGATGGCAGTCATCGCGGGATGCCGCTCGTTGTGGTGAATAAGGCGGGTTCTGGGATTATTTGTRGGGCCGGGGCTGCCTCCTCTGGGTGCAGTGGGCATTGCTGAGCCCGCTCCGTGAGTGCCAGTCCTGGCAGCGTGGAGCACAAACTGGGAGAAGGGGCCGCAGCAGGATCTGGGGGTCCTCGGTGTCCTGGGGAACCCGCCTGGGGCAGCTGGGCTGCCTCCCCCGTCGCGGGCAGAGGGGGTGGGCTGGGATGGAGCTTGCGTCGGAATCAGGTCAGGCTCTGGGGGGTTGAAAGCGGCACGCCGGGATCTGCATCCGTCAGCGAGCTGGATGGATTCCTGCTGCGTCCAGGGCCCCTTCCTTATCGGCACTAATCCAGCGSAGCAGCTGCAGCAGCTCCGTAGCACTCGGCGCTATCGGGGCCGCGCAGGGCTCCCGATAACCCCCCCGTTCCTCTGGCGGGCCAGCAGCGAGCCCTCTCCGTGCTCCCGACCATGTATGGCCACCCAGCCCGGCGCCGGGGCACTGGGTGACCGCCTGGCAGCGGTGACAGCCGCGGGGGCAGCGCGGGGAGCTGCGGGGACAGAGAGGAGCTGCACCGGCCAAACCCTCTCCGCCTGGCACGAGGTGTGCCCCGCACGCAGCCAGCGGACGAGCGGGTCCGCAGTGCCCTGTGCCAGCTGGCAGGACAGGGAGCAGCTCCCCGCTGTCCCCCGCTTGTCCCCTGGGMGCTGCAGAAGGGATGCTGGCAGCGGGGTTTGGTACCAGTGCCTTCCCTCGGCAGGGCAGCGGCGCCGGGTCGGTGCCACCAAACGCGTGCGGCAGTTGGGGACATTTCCCAAGCTGGCAGCGAGTGTCACAGCCCGGCACAGCCTCCTGACACCCGGGAGAAAGGTCCGTGCTCCGGCCGGGTGTTCCCAGCGAGGGGATGGGGACAGGATCCGCTGGGGAGGGGACACCGAGGTTATTTCTGGTCTCTCCTTGCTGCTGCACGGAGCCCGGAGGGCAGGAGTGTCTTTGAGCTCACGTCCCACCAGGGCCACTGGCCTCATTGCCGGAGTGTAATTGCTATGCTAATTGGGACAAATCATCATCAGGGGCYGGGCCGGGGGTTGGTGGCCCGGTGCTGTGCCGTGCCAAGCCGTGCCAGAATAATTAGGGTTAGGGTTTTAGGCTCGGAGGAGCACTGGGATGCTCAAACCAATGAAGATTTAAGAGCAGATGTGGAGAGAGCAAACTAAAATTGTTCTTCTTGCCTCTTCTTCTTGAGAAAGTTTTTAATTGAAACRCACCACATTAARAAAATAMTCCCAAGTGYGAGTGGAGTCTGYCCCAGTTTAGYACRCTGGAAATGTTYTGCAAACTGGTCAAATTATGCCAAGATCTCACAAAGACAGTGGGATTTAGGTTTGAGTGTTTTAGCAAACTAGGGTAACTGTAAATCCAGCCTCTTTTTTTCTTTTTTTTTGGGTCTCTGTGGAGGTTTAGGTTGAATATCAGGAAAAGGTTCTTCCCCCAGAGGGTGGTGGGGCGCTGAGCCGGCTCCTGGGTGCTGACCCGCTCTTGTCGCCTCTCCTACAGCGCCATGGAGGCAGCGCTCATCTTCCTGTGCTCCCTGCTGGTGCCAGCGGCCGTGGCAGACGGTAGGTGCCCACACAGAGCTCGGGAAAAGGTTGGTGCACCCTGGGGACAGCCACCACACCAATCCACGGGGGCTGGAGAGGGGCGAGGGGCACTCAGGGGTCTGCCAGGGGCTCACTCACCTCATCTGCTCATTTCCAGTGGCCACCCAGGAGAAGGAGGAGGAGGATCCCTTTAACTATGGTGAGTATGGCCGAGCGTGGGGGTGGGGGGCTGTGCCACCCTGAACCCCGCAGCAATGAGCCCTGTGTGTCCCCCTGGCAGATTACCAGAGCCTGAGGATCGGGGGGCTGGTGTTCGCCGTGGTCCTGTTCACCGTGGGCATTCTGCTCATCCTCAGTGAGTTGGGGACGTGGCACACGCTGGGCTGGCAGGGAGGGGCAGCAGGGGCTGCTCTGGTGACGGGGGGGCACTGGGACAGCTTCGTGCCATTCCCACCCTCACCGAGTTTCTCTCCCTCGCAGGCAGGAGGTGCAGGTGCAGTTTCAAGCAGAAGCCCAGGTGAGTGGGGAACACCTTGGGACRCCCCTCTGCTCCCCTCCTCCCGCAGCTGGCAGAGGGGCTGCACTCTCTGGGTGTCCCTTTGGGGTGCCCAGAGCTGGGGGATGGAGCTCCTGCTCCCAGTGCCCCTTCCTGGCCATCCCAGCACGGATGGGATCAGATCCCAGCTGCCCTCACCGTGCTCCTCTCCTTGCAGGGCTCCAGGGGACGAGGAGGCTCAGGCAGAGAACCTGATCACCTCGAACGGTAAGGTCACTGTCCTGYGGTCACCGTGGCACTGCCCCGTGTCACAGCCACCTCCCGGGGCTGGGCAGGCACCACAAACCCCTCTGCTCTTCCCTTTGCAGCGACGGCGGCACAGAAAGCAGAGAACTGAGCAGGAGCCGTGCGGTGAGTCCCGGGCCAGGCTGGGTGTGGGGATCAGCGTGGGAGGGATGGCTGGGGCTGCGGGGAGAGCTGGGGGGGCTCTGAGCACACCGGGGGGACTGGGCAGCTCTGCAGCACTGGGGCGAGCACTGGTGGGGTCCTCAGCAGGGAAACTCAGTGCTGGCGAGGTCCTGAGTGTCCACAGGCAGCCCAGCAGGAAAAGGAAGCAGCTGCCCGGATTTTATCTTGTGTTACGCTTCCTTTCCTTGTGCTCCTCCACCTCGGAGTGGTTGTGGCTTTTCTCTTCAGAGGGCTGGGTGTGAATCCCTCGGGGTGTCTCACTCTGAGCTCCCCCAGCTGCTGRGCCGTGCCCTGGTGTGAAGAGRGACAAGGCTGGAGCCCGTGCTGGCRGTTTGTGCTGCAAGCCTGACCCGCTGCTCTGCTCCCCTGCAGACCCAGAGACCCGAGGATGGACGCTCGGAGCGCAGATGCCCGCAGCCTGCGAGGAAACCAAACCCCCAGCAGCAGGTTCCCCCCAGGAGACACGGACCTGCCGTGTCTGTGTCCCCCTCTGTGCTCCAGCACCGGTTCTCTGTTTCCTAACCCGACTAAACTCCGCTCAGCGTCCTCTCTGCCTCCCGTGGTGTGTAATGTTGCTGTGAGATGATCATTACCTCTAGGGCTAGTTGTTGCTGATGTTGTAATCGTGACTTTCTCTTCACCTTTCTCGTGCTGTGCGTGTGATTCGGGCTCTGCAGCACTGGCAGGCGCTGCCCTTCGGGCTGCCCTCCCAGCCTGGCAGCAGGGAGTGTGGGCAGTGGGGCAGGGACCCCCGTTTGGGCAGAATTTGGGGACCCGCAGTGCCCTGGGGACCTGCCCGGCCATTCCAAGGCCATCTGTGTCCATTTCAGCAATAACCCCCTGCATGTCCCCAGCCCAAAAACAGCCAAGGTTTGGGGTGAGTCAGGCAGGGACATCCCACAGCTCAACCTCCCTCGCTGGGGTCAGCTGGATTCAAGGCTGAAGGGAGCTCTCCTGCCCGTCCTGCTTGGCACTCCCCGTTTCTGTCCCTGTTAAACCTGTGGGACGCTGCTTTAAGTGTGAGGAAAGGCCGTGGTGGCAGAGAAGCCCGTGAGGTCCCCAGCACGGTGACACTGTGGAAGAGGGCGGCAGCACAGCGGTGACCCCGTTAACCAGCACAAACCAGCTCCTGCCTGCGAGCCASAGCTGGGTGGGTGACACAGTCCTAAAGAGGGCTAAAGAGAAACAAAGATCCTGTCTGTGCCTGTCTCCGGCAGGGAAGGGGCAGTGGCGTTTCCTGCTGGTGCTCCCTGCCCCTCCTGACGCCTTGTCGCTCCCTGTGCCACCCATGTCAGYGCTGTGTTGTCCCGTGGTGGTTCTGTGTCACCCCCAGTGCCAGCTGTCCCTTCTCCCCTCGGAGCAGCAGCGAGTGGCAGTGAGTGATTCTCGGGGCTTTTGCACACCTGAGCTGGCACTGTGACAGCGTGCTGAGCCCAGAGGCCATTGTCACCCTGTGTCCTCTCGTGGCTCAGAGGCAAAGCTGTGGTTTTTGGACCGTCCCCGAGTCCACGGGCAGGAAACACCTCGTGTGGGGCTGGGGACTGTCAGCTCGGATGGGGACAGCAGTGAGGGGTCCCCAGGGCTGCCCTGACACACCTCAGGGTGCCATCCCCRCACCGAGAAGGGGGTCCTGTCTCTGAGGATGGTTTTGAGAGGCGTTTCTGCTGTGTCCACCCCGCTGTGGTGGCCCTGCCTYCAGCGTGGGCTGTGTCCCTGCGTGCTTGGCATCGTTTGGTGGCACGGGGCAGCTCTGTCCCATCCGTGCCAGGCAGAGGGACCGTGTCTCTCGTGTCGTGTCCCTTCCCTCCGTCCTGSCTGTCGCAGAGAGCTCCGGGCAGAGCAGCCCCCGGCCCCCGAGTGTCACGGTGTGTGTCCCGTCGGAGTGCCCGTGCTGTCCGTAGTGTGCCGTCGGTGTTACCACCAAACAAAGAGCTCCCTGTGGTGTGTAAAATGGCCAAACCCTGACTGTTGTAAAATAAACTGAGCTATTGTGTCTCCTTTTAAATAGGCGAGTGTGCTGCTGTGCTGGAGGGCTGGTGTGCTCTGTGCTGTGACCTAAGGGGAAAGGAATAAAATATCGTTTCTATCGGTGCCTGCCTGCGTTGTCTCGAGGGCYGGGGCGTTCCCAGGGCAGCCTGGCAGCTTCCCACGCTGTCCCATTGTGGCCAGGGGAGCAGGGGCAGCGCCCTGGGCAGCACAGCCGGGCTTTGTGCCGGCCGAGCCCCCTCCTGCTCCCTTGTGCAGCTCAGCAAGAGCCGGAGCCGGTGGGAAGGGAGCGCGGGGGCGCGGCCGCGGACACTTTTGTCCCTGGATTTTTTGGGAGCCGCKGTGTCGGGCTGCTGGCGCGCCTCTCCGGCGGATGCCGAGCTCTGCCAGGGCTCCGTGACGGCAGGGACAGCAGGGCCACTGTGCCGGCTCCACGCAGCACCCTCCCGCGGCTTGGCTGCACCCCTGGAACCGGAGCCGGGCCGCCGTGGGGCTCCGGGTGCCYCGGCCCTGCCAAGGGGAGCGTCCCTCGGCGCCAGCTCCCCCCGGCCACCCCGGCGTTAATCGGCTCGGCCGCGTGACTCCCGCTCGCTGATGGCGAGATTAGAGCAAACTGGATTGCCCAGCCCTGCTGGCAGCTGGCCCCGCCGGGCCCGGGGCTGCCACCGCATCCCGGTGCCCACCGCCGGCGGGGATGCGCCTCGGAGGTGGCCGTGCCAGGGAGCTGCCGGTCCCTGGGGTGGCTCGGTGCTGGCACGGAGGTGCWGACCCGGCCGAGGGACACCCCCGGTGCCAGGCGGGGAGGACGGGCAGTGCTGCCCGCTCCTCTCCAGCCAAAGGCAGTCACAGCCGGTGTTCGAGCCCATCCCTCGGCTCGTCACCACCGCAGGAGGTGCAGCCCGGTTGGGCTGACAATGGGAAGAGGAGGGAGGGCCGGGACGAGGACGCGCAGCTCGGGGTGCCCAGCCCTCCCCACCGGCTGGCACGGTGGGTGCTGCCCCTGCCCTTCCCTCCCCTCCCTCTTTCCCAAAGGCGGGCGGGAGCCCTGTGCCTCCCCTCGTGACTGCGATAAACATTACACCGAGGCCATTAATGTTTAATGAGGTTTGTCTCCCAATTAATGCGCTTTCCCGTGGGTGCCCACTCGCAGAGCGAGGCGCCCGCCGGACGACACGCCGAGGCCATGGGTGACGGTAAGGACAGCACCTTCTTGGGGACATCTCAGTGCGAGGGGCAGGGCTGGTCCCTCCCACCRCGGGGGAAGCTCTCGATGAGCATTCGGGGTGGGGAGATGTGGGGATGGATCTTCAGAGCTCCACAGCCCTKTGGCACATCGGTGCCAGCTGCTGCTTGGCTTCTCGGGGTGATTTCTGCTTCCAAGCTGCTCCTGGCAGAGGGATGTGCWGTCAGGGTGATGCCTGATGATTTTTGCCTTTYCTTTTTATGTACCCTTTTATATATTTATACACCTTTTATGTATCCCTTAGCCTGCATGACTGTAATTCCTGTAGCCTGATATTCCAGCTTAGTTTAGGAGTTCTGCTGGACACAGAGACCAAACATCCTCAATATGGGGTCAGTGTGCCCCGTGCTGTCTCAAACCTCAGGGTTTCAACCTTCTCTCTGGAGCTCATTGTGTAAACTGGGCTCTGGCCTCATTCCGGGGTGGATTCTTTAGAATAGAGGGACATTACTTCATTTGTTAAGTTTCTTATTGGCAATTCTAGATAGATATGCTAACCTGTGAAGTCTATAAAACTTCCATACGTGTTATACGGGGTGTAAATTTTCCTGCGTTTTTTTTCCGTTCTGTCGAGTTGTGCACCTGGGATCCCGTTAAACACCGAGGTAAAACCTTTTTGTTCCCTTAACCGTGTCTTGTCCCATAATTAAAAACTGGCTGCCAAGGCAACAAGGTAAGGTGGCTGGAGCAGTGACACGTGGAGGGGGGATTTTTGGGGTGCATCTGGTGTGATGTGTGAGCCTGAGGGCACAGAGGGTGCAAAGCCACGGACGGAGACCTGCAGGCAGTGGCATTTCCCGAGAGCAGTGGAGCCGGGTTCCTGCCTGCAGTTCCCCAGCATCCTGCAAACGCAGCCTGCAGGAGCATCCCATGAATTCCCCATGGATGTTGAACCTCCTGGGGTGCGACCCAGAAGTTTCCTGGCTCAGCCGTGTGCCAGGGAAGTCCCTGCACTCTCTTGCACACCTCAGTCCTGGTCTCTCCCATCTCCAGGCTGAGGATGTGGCTCTCACTGGGGTTTCTCCTCTTTTCCAGAGCAAGTGCCCGAGCAGGACAGGTTCAGCTATGGTGAGTGTGTGACAGGCAGTCCCTGCCGCTGTGCCACGGGCTCTGTGCTGCGGGCTCACCCTGCACTGGCACTGGGCTGACACCTCCCGGCTCTCTCCTCCCCAGACTATGACACCATCCGCAATGGGGGGCTGATCTTCGCCGCCGTGGCTTTTGTGATCGGGCTCCTCATCATCCTMAGTAAGTGCCTGGGTGTGCTGGACACCCCTCGGCTCTGTTCCCTGCTCTGCTCGGCCCCCTCCTCTGCCTGGGAGGAGGTTGGGGGTCCCCAGCCCTGCCCCAGAGCTGCAGGGGTGGGCACAGCCTGCCCCCGGGGCTGCCTGGGAACTTTCCATCCCGGAATGCTCCCAGCAGAGAGCGAGTTGGGAGGGAGACCACGTAAATATTTAGTGTTTCCCTGCCAGCGCCAAGGCTTCAGAGGGAAGGTCACTCATTAAAAATAGCAGAGAAAAGTCTGGCATTTCCAGAGCGAGGAACCAGCGTTCCCAGAGCCCTCGGACCTCGACAGCTCCAGGAGTGACCCAGTGCCGTGTGGACAGGGCACCCTGTGACCCTGCCTGGGTGTCCTGGCACTGTTCTGTACCGGCATCGCTCTGTCTGGGGTGGTGACGGTGTCACAGCCAGTGCAAGAGCAGTGCCTACTAATTTTAGGGCGAAAAATCTGAAAACCAACAGCATTTTCACTCATGGGACAATTTGAGCCCGTGTCTGGGCAGTCCAGGGCTGCAGGGTGGGTGAGGTGGGACGGGGGGAGGCTCAGCCTCAGTCACTCCTCTCGTCCCCAGGCCAGCGGTTCCACTGCGGAGGGAGGAAGAAGAGAAGGTGGGTATTGCTGCTTTCCAGACAGCCCCGTCCCTCCTGCCTGTTCCAGTCTCTGACAGGGCCGGGGCTCAGCCCTTCCTCCCCCCTCTCTCAGCTGCAATTCCCGGTGTAACACTTCTCCCCTCGCTTTTTGCTCCACAGACAAGGCACCGAGGAGGAGCTGTAGGTGCAGGTAGGAGGCTCCAGCGGCAGCCAGGCTCCCTGTGCTGGGCAGCGATGCTCTGGGGTACTCGTTCTTCGGGGAACGGGGTTTGTCCCGGGAGGAGAGGGGCTGGGACACGCTGGCGATGTCACCCTCCCTTTCTCCAGTTCCAGAGCTGCAGAGCCACCATGGAAGCAGAGCTCCAGCCGAATCCCAGCAGCCCCGGCCAGTGGCCCCCCCTCACCCCGCTCCAGTGGATCCATTACCCCGCAAGGCCAGAACGCAAATTACCCTCGTGCTTCCCCCTCTCTTAGACCCAGCAAGAGTTCCTTGGCTAATAAAGTTCAAGCTCCGAGAGGTTAAACTCTGTGCCCGAGGCGTTTGAATCGCCCACTCTCCTGGCCCGGCTCCAATCACTTTTCTGCCCTGCAGAGGCAGGAATGGTTCCCGCTCGCTCCTCCGCAGCCCGAGGCACGGCGCGGCCAGCCGCCTCTGCCCTGCCTTTGCTCCGGATGTTTCTGTGTTCTTCTCCCGGCTGCGGGTTCCTGCGGCACATTCCTCTCCTTTGGGATGCCCGGGCAGGGGCTGGCAGCGCTGTGGGGCTGTTCGTGCCCGGCTGGGATGGGGTTAATTCTGGCTGGGAGCTGGAAGGTGTTGGGAACGCTCCGGTTCTGCCGCCTGCTGTCCTTTCAGCATCGCTCTCAGCGGCGGGCTGGGTGGGCAGATCCTGGGAGGGGACACGGCCAGGACAGCCCCAAACTGCCCAAAGGGATGTTCCAGACCAGCTGATGCCTGCTCAAGCATGGAAGGAAAGGGAAAAGAGGAGAAAAGGGGGTGTTCTTGTGTTACATTTGCCTTGAGGAGTGACCCCGACTTCCCGGCAAGGGGCTGGATATCACCTGCGGATGGGAAGTGGAGAATTTCAGAGTCTTCTGGGCTTCTTTTTTCCTTTTCTTGGGCTCACGCTTCCTCTGCTTTCACTTTATAAACTGCCTTTATCTTGGCCCACTCGTTTGGGGGATTTTCCCTCTTTTTAATCCCTTCCTGCCCTGCTGGGGAGGGCAGTGATGGARCAGCTCAGTGGGCAACCGGTGCCAGCCAAGGTCAACCCAGCACAGCATCACCGAGCGTGATCCAGGCGTCCTTCTGGGTCCGGAGCAGGGCTGGGGTGAAACACGGAGCTCCGTGTGAGCTCTCGGCCGCTCAGCTTCAGAATCAGCCAGAAACGCCTCTAAAAAAAAAAAAAAAAAAAAAAGGACAAAACTCTCCGGCAATTGGGCAGTGAGTGAGGAGGGAGGTTCGCTCTGAGTGCGGAGAGCTGGCCCGACACAGACACCTAGTGACGGGAGGGCAGGGCTGCCTGTCCCCACATCGCTGCCCCCCACCCTGCCCCAGAGCCTTCACCCCCTCCCCTGCAGACCTGGGGACAAAAGGGCACCCCAAACAAGCCCAGGAGGGGTTCAGGAAAGGATGCTCGCTCCCGGCCTCGTCAGTTTGGGAATTCCAAATTCAGTTCCTCGCTTGACCGAGGAATGGTTTGGGTGAGAATCCCCATCTCAGTGCGTTTCCTCACCGGAGCCACTGTGGTTGTTCAGGTGTGCGAGGGGCTGCTTTCAGGGACCCCGACCATCCCAGCACAACAGGGATGGAGAAACCAACTCCCTGGGGCCGTTTGGGCTTCGRTGGAGGTCAGACATTGACAGAAAAAATAGGATTAGCTGGGGGAAGGTTATTAGGCAAAATCCGTGCAATTTGTTTAATCTGAGGTGCTTATTTAACACAGTAAGGAGATTATTTTGGAATACAAATTTGACTTGACACTGACCCACTAATAAAGACTCGTTGCAGTTTTGCACAGCTCGAACGATACCGGAGTCCTTCGACTGGGGGAGAAATCGTTAATGGTTGAGCTTGATGGTCTTAAAGGCGTTTCTCGAGCTAAATGACCCTGTGATTCTCTGCGAAGTGCCCGTTTAAGGTTTGGTGGCACCAGAACTGCCCTGCCCACGCCTCGCTGGGTGCGGCGGGGCTGTGCCCCCCAAAAGCAGGAGGGGCATGCAGAAAGGCAGCGAGGTGTGAAATGAGCCCGTCCCCAGCAGGGTCCCACAGCCCAGAGCCCCAGGGCTCTCCCCATTCCCCCTCCGGAGCCGCAGCCGTGCCCTTGAGCTCCCCGAGAGCCCCGCAGACGGAACCCCCGCGGCTCCGGGGCCGGGGATTACGGGGAGCGAAAAGCCGTGTCTGGCTCCAGCGCGGGATCTCTGTCTCGGCACCAGATGGCATTAATGGCATTATTGTGCACGGCTTGGGGACACCCGCGTGTGCYCGCACCTGCACAGCCCCACGGAGCCGGGGCTGGGGACACKGACGGGGACAGGGACAGGGCRCTGGGTGTGACTGCGAGCCCAGCTCCGAGCTCTTCCAGGATGGAGCCAGGGAATTTGGGAACCAGGAACAGAGCGAGGTGAACGCGGCCACCAGCGGCTCTGCAAGGCTCCACTCGTTTGTTTTGGATGTTGAGCCCCGGAGCTTTGGGGGAGGCAGAGAAAGGCCACTGTGTCTCCTTCCTCCTTCTGCTGCCCCCATGAGAGGGTCCTGCTGTCCCCCGAGTTGTTGTCCCCATCCGAGGGTGTCCCAAACCAAGCCCYTCAGCCCTTTCTTGTGCTCCTTGTGCTYCTCTGTGAGGCGTTTGCCTTCTCCYCTGAACCAGGCAATCTCGGAGGATTTCTCTCACAGCCCCTTGAGCCATTAATCTTCTCAAAGTAAATCTTTTCTGCGGCACAAAGGGGATTGGGTAAATAATACAGTGGACAACTGGAGTGCCCTTTTCCTCTGGGAAGGCTTCCAGACCCAAACTGCTTCCCCTTGGTGCTGGCTATTCCCCGTTTGCCTCGCTGCTCTCTGGATGGACAGGTACCAGGGAGAGGGGCTCTGGCCAGCTGTGGCTGTGCTTCATCCCTGTCTGAATGCGAGCAGATGAGGCAGCGGGGCAGAAAGCGGAGGAGCAGCAGCCAGGGAGGAGCTGCCAGCACTGCCCCGCGATGCCAGCGATGCATTTCGCCCATGAGGAAACACGAATGCAAAATGTCTCCTCATTAGTTTAAAGAGGAGAGCAGCAAATGGTGACTCAGGGAGCCAAAGAGGAGCACTGGAGAGCGGAGAGATGGGCCGGGCTGGCGGGGAGCCAGACACGCGCCTCGGCCTCCCTTTGTTCTGCTCCAGAACAGGCAGCGCATCCAGCAGCAGCTGCACCCCTGCCAAAACACCCTCAGCAGCGCTGCACGGGCTGGAATTATCCTCCAGCCCCAGGAAACGACATCTCAGCCCCCGTTTCCATGTCGCACGCGCCCCAAAGCGGAGGTGATTAGGGAATGAGAGGTGATTAGGGAATGAGTGCTCACATGAAGAGCGCCCGGAGCAGCGATGCTGTGGGAGCGCAGCCCAGGGATGGGCAGGCTGGGTTCTCCAGGTGGGATTCACAGCGGGATGGGGCTGGAAGCAAAGGAGAGTCCCATGAACCCAGTCCTTGTGTGTCAGGACCGAGCCTTGGGATCACAGAGGTTGGAAAACACCTCTAARACCATCRRAGTCCAATAATCAAMGCTGCCAAGTCCAGCACTAAACCATGTCCCCAGGGGTCACATCTGTACACATCTGTCTTTTAAATCCCTGTTTTAAATCCCTCCGCCACGGTTCTGGGTTCAGCCTGTTCAGCYCWCGGAGCTTGCTAAAAYTGTGCAAAGCYCCTGGAGCTGCCGAGGGCAGGGACYTCGCTCTCCTCCCCGCTCGGGGCTCCCCTCGGTGAATCCCCCTCGCCCCGATCCCCGCTCTGCCGGTCCCCGCTCAGCAGCGGAGCGCCGCGACACTAGAGGGAACCAAATCCCAGCTTCTTGCCAGGAAAGCGGGTTTTTTTTCCTTGGGAAGCCGAGCATCCCGGCTGCCTGGCGAGGGATTCGGGCTCTGGACACGAAGGACACGGACCCCTTCGCAGAGAACGGAACCGCAGGATGATTTGGGCTGGAATTTTAAAATTGTTCTCACTTATAGTGCCAGTGTCTGTCCACAACCACGAGTGCCAGGAATCCGTTATGGATACAGAGGTGTTCCTGTTGTGCAAGACCCAAGGGGCTCGAGTCGGATGTCATTTTGGGGTACATTGACCTGCTGGCACCTGTTTGTCCAGAGCTTTGCCAGCTTTTTACCGGGACACGAGGCCCTCGCCACCTCCAGGGCGTTTATTCCGCCACCACTCCACGTGGCAGCCGCTTGTTCCCCTCTGCCGCTGGGGAAACTGAGGCACTGGGGGGAAGCAACCACAGGCAGAGGGRTCCTTCCCCCTCAGCACCCACACAGGGCCAGCCTTGGGGTTGGAGGCAATTGCGGAGGAGGGGCATGGGGCTCCAGGACAGGTTTCGCTGGAGGGAATCCTACCCGAGCACCCCCAGAATTTTCCACCCGGGTGTACCCAGAGCAAACCCATTCTGTAATCACCCCCACAGCCTCTTTGCTGGTGGGGTGGGGCTGTCCTGGGTGCCAGTGGTGGCCACAGCTCGTGTCTTTGGCCCTGGGGACAGTGAGGGGTCACGGCGGGCTGGCCCCGCTCGCCGGAAAGGTGCTGCGAGGGTAAGTGGGTGATGCGTGGGAAGTGCTTTGTGGCAATCGGCTCGCCGCAGATAAGTAGCCCTGTTGTTTTAATGACTCTGCTTCCTCCGGGGATTTGTCTGCGAGGGCGGCCGAGGGCACGGGGCTGGGGCCCGGCGGGARGTGAGGTGTGCCCTGGCCGGAGGGATGCGGGTGCAGCGCCTCTGCCCTGCTCGGGGCACAGTCTGGGGCTGGGACTGACACCAGCAGCTCTGGGGATGCTGCGGGGACCCTTCTCTTGGCTGTTTTCCTGTGTCCTTGCATGGAGAGTGGGATTTTTGCACACTAGCGAAAGAATTTTCTTTAGGAAAAGAATTTTCTTTAGGAAATACCTCCCTGGCTAACGGAGTTGTGTGAGCACAGGGCACTTCTGTAATCCCCAGAGCTCCGGGACAGCCTGGAGCTCGCTGTCATTCTGCCCAGCGGCAGAACAATTGCCAGGAAGGGGAAGATTGAAGGGGATGGATGTTTTCGAAGGGCCGTGTCCTCAGGACAGGCAGCAGGACCCCGCTGTGTAATTCCTGCTGCGGTGAAACGCAGAGCGTCTCCCATCCCGAGCCTGGTGGGGCTCGGAGCGATGCGTGGGCATGCTTTGCCATAATTTCTCCTGTGTCTTGCGTGGAGTTTGGGCCCGGGAATTAATTCCTCAGTGTGAGCTTCACCTCTGAGCCGCTCAGCYGGGCTGGCTGCCTGTGAGCGGGTCCGTGGCTACTGGGAGAGTGAGAC